GTGGGGGGCCGGGACCGGGCCGGCTGAGCACCGGTCGCACACGCAACTCGATGAGTTCCTCGCCCGCACGGCCGGGACTCAGACCCCGACTCCGGCGCAGGCTCTCCTCGCGCTCGCAGCTGCGGCGGATTTCGCGCTGGATGGGCGTCTCCATCAGTAGTTCCGCAGGCGCCGGGTTAGATGCCGGCTTCGGTGGAAAACACACCGGGAGGCCTTCGAGCAGAAAGAGGGGCACTGCCCCAGGACCTCCGTTATCCGAATGCCAGGCGGCCCAGCTACAGAACGTCCGTCCGGGCTTTCTGTGTCCTGTTCAACTGGTACTTGGGGGACTTGGCTCTCTGGCTCCGAGGTCTCCAAGTCTTCCGCTCCAGAGGTTTCCAGGACCTCACTGCCTCCCCGGCAGCCCTCGGTGCCCTGAGTCTGCGGCTCCCGGATCACGTCGTCCTAAGATTCAGGTGACCCCAGGACTCGGCTCTCGAGTGCCGGAGCCTGGATGTTCAGAGTTAGGCGCACTTTGAAAATTTCAGTTCTCTGGGTCGGGATTGAGATGCCCAGACAGGTAGGACGCGGTGATCTGCGCAGTACCTGTGGTTGCCGCCGCCGCCCGAGGTTCTAAGGCGTCGCCAGCCCTCTTCTTTGACCCGCCTCTGGCCTCCAGGAACGTCCCCTGGGGGCAGGACTGGGCACCGCCCCTGGCACCTGCCAGCTGGGTTCGAGCGGCCCTGGGCCCGCCCCCAAGGCGAGGACTCCTCTGCTGGACGCCGGATTCCCGCCACCTGAGTCCAGGGGTTGATTGAAGGAAGAGACAGCTTCTTAGGAAAGGGCTACCCTGAACTCCCTACTCAGGAGGTAAAGTCTCGCCTTCTTGTTCTGGGACCACGCTGGTACTTTGGGGAGGGGGGGCCTCATTTGCCATCATTGTCTGGCGACCAGACCTCTAGTCGAGCGCCGCGCTGATCTCCGAGCCACCTTACAGGGCGTTCCCTCGGGCGTCTTTCCCTGACCTCACCAGGCTAGCTCAGCAGGTGCCCCTCGCGGTCAGCGACGTTCCCGTGGCCTCCCGGTCCTCGCCCCACGTAGATCACGGCTCCACACAGCTCGGGTCCCGCCCCAGGGCGGCCGGGGGCCGCCGCACTGCGAGCTCCTGCTGCCCTGGGCTGCTCTACCAGATTCGCAGCAGGGCTGCGGCCAGTCAACCGCCTGGAGCAGCTTCCCTCCCCTCCCTTCCAGAAAAGCCCGCAAGGCGTTGGCGGCCTAGTGTCCCGCTGGAACAAGCGAGGACTGAGAATAGAGACAATATAGCTCTTCCTGGCCTCCGCCGAGCAGTTGCGTTGCGGCTGGAAAGCGGTCAGCTTGGGACAGGTTGCTGAGGTAGCCCAAGCTGGGGCAGGAGCCACCGGGTTAAAGGGGGAGATCTGTTTCTGGGGCCGATCTGTTGTTGTTCAAGTGCAGAATCGATGCTCCAGACTGCGGGTCAACCACTCACTCTCGTGGGATGCCGACTTTCATAAAACCGGCCCACCTCCGCGTTATTCTATAGTAATCTGGAAAAAAAGACAATTACCTAAAGAAAATAGAAAGAGGGGCTGGAGAGATGGCTCAGTGGCTGAGAACACTGGCTGCTCTCCCAGAGGACCCGGGTTCAATTCTCAGTACTCACACGGCAGCTTACACTTGTCTGTAACTGCAGTTCCAGGGCTTCTGACGCCCTCACACAGACATACATGCAGGCAAAACACCAATGAACATAAAATAAAAATAAATTTCAAAAGAAAATAAAGGAGCCAGGGTGGTGGCTCACTTCTTTAACCCCAGTACTCGCTCAGGAGGCAGAGGCAAGCTGATCTCCAAGAGTTGGAGACCAGCCTGTTCTACGGAAACACTTCCAGGTCACCCAGGGCTACATTGCGAGGTCTTGTTCCAAAAAACAAACAGGAAATAGAGGGCTACCAACCACCAACAATTTGATCACTCCTTCTTGTCTCTCCTCTTACATCTGGCCTCAAGTGCTGCCTTCTCTTGGACGGGAAAGATGGCTCCTCATTTAAGAGGACCGGCTGTTCTTCCAGAGGACCAAGATGGTTCACACTAATCTGACTCCTTCCAGGCAGAGCACCAATACACATAAAAATAAAAATAAACAATTTTTAAATAATAACAACAAGGCCTGAAATAATGACTTGGTTTGTAAAGTGCTGGTGGCCCATGTATAGGGCCAGGGAAAGGCAGGAGGATTGGATCCCTGATGCCGATCAGCATCTAGTCTAATCTAGTGGGTGAGTGCCAGGCTCAGTGAAGGACCCTGCCCTTGTATGGAGGCATACACATTTATCACACATGTACACACAAAAGAGACTGGGGACATGACTAACTTATAGAGTGCTTGTCTGTAGGTGGAAGGCTGCTCGGTCGTTTCCCGGCAACCTAGACCCAAAATAAACACACAGAAACTATATTAATTTCAATACTATTTGGCCAATAGCTTAAGCATATTTCTAGCTAACTCTTACATCGTAAATTAACCCATTTCTACTAATCTGTATATTGTCACATGGTTGTGACCTACCGACAAGCTTCCACCCAGTGTACAGCATCTGTGTCCTGCTGCGGCTACATGGCTTCCTCTTGATTCTGCCTACTCTCTCCTCCGCTATCTGCATGAAATTCTCTCCTTGCCCTATTCTGCTAAACCACTGACCGAAACAATTTTATTCATTAACCAATAAAAGCAGCACATATACAAAAGGATTTCCCACACCATTTCCCCTTTTCTGTCTAAATAAAAAGGAAGGTTTTAACTTCAACACAGTAAAATTACATATAACAAAACAGGTATCAAGTAAGAATTACAGTTACAATATTTATTTTATATCTACTTTATCATTTATCATAACTAAGGAAAGCTATAATTATAACTATCTATTCTTTAACTCCTTCAAAGACTCCAAAAGGATATAATATTACCTGAGAAAACAGGAAGTGCATCGTAAGCAACTTCCAAAACTCTAGAATTGACAGAGACATCTCACTACCTGGATAGTCACCCAAAGTTCTTCAGTATCATTGGGGCGTCCATCTTCAGCCTACAGACCCATAGTATCCAGCAGACTTTGCCATAAAGCAGGAAATTTCAAAGACGGTTCTGCCTACATTGGCAATTTGTCAGTCACTTTCTTCTGTGTCCTGCAGAATGTCTGGCAGACTCTTTCATGAAGCAGGAACCCTGACGGACATCTCACCTTAGACGAGTTCAGCAGTCATTTCTCTGTGGGTCCTACATGTCCAGTTCATCAAGCAGTCCAGACAAGAACAGTTTCTTGCCCAAATGGCTAATCAACTCCATGAGGAGCTGTGGAGGGCCGGACCACATTCTCCATTGCTTCTAGGAACAAAGGTAGAGATTGACCTCTGTGACCCCAAGGTGTGGCAGTACACGCCTTTAGTCCTGATGCCTGAGCGGCAGAGGCAGATTGACCTCTGTGACCTCAAGGCGTGGTAGTACACGCCTTTGCTTTGGTCCCAATGCCTGGGAAGCAGAGACAGGCAGATCTCTGTGAGTTCAAGGTATTGTAGCACACGCCTTTAAGCCTTTAATCCCAGCGCACGTGCTTGGTAACTCTCTACCGCTGAGTCCCTGCCTACTCCCGAGGCATCATCTGGGATAATGGGCAGCGGACCAATCCAAGAGTGACACGTCAGAAGCGAGGACTGTTTCCTTTATAAGGGCTGGGTTTCCCCTCATTCTGGGTCTCCGCCATGTAAGCTTATGCTCTCCCTCTCAAGACGCATAAAGCTTTACTGCAGAAGAATCCTAAGTGTCCCGCGTCGTTCTTGCGGGCGAGAAGGTAGCGCGGGGCAAGGAGCCTCTTCAATGCCCATCTTCCTCTTGAAGTAGATTGGTGCTGCCAGGAGTAGATGTGCCTCATTGTCATGAAAAGTCTTAAGTTCTTAAAACATTTTAAATGCCATATTCTGTTAGTCTTTGAAAGGTTTGAAGAATAACTATATATCTGGAAAACCTAACATGATTACAAGTTTGACTATTATAAATGACTATCTATTAATCTGTATTGCTTAATTATATATTACATTTTGAAAAAAGATTTATTATAAATTTATTTATTTATTATGTATGCAATGTTCCTCTTGAATGACCATCTCCCTGCCAGAAGAGGGCACCAGATCTCATTACAGATGGTTGCAAGCCACCATGTGGTTGCTAGGAATTGAATTCAGGACCTTTGGAAGAGCAGGCAGTGCTTTTAACCTCTGAGCCATCTCTCCAGGCCCTTCTTTTTTGTCTTATGTGGATTCATGCCCCAGATGGTGGGCACCAATCTGAAGGTGAAAGACTGCCCTTTCACAGAAGCCCAGACCCGATATAAACACACAGAAACTATATTAATTGCAATACTGTTTGGACAATAGCTTAGGTGTATTTCTTGCTAGCTCTTACATCTTAAATTTCTACTAATCTATGTATTGTGGTAGGCTATGTGATCATGGCCTACCGGCCAGGTTCCACCCAATGTCCAGTATCTGTGTCCTGCTGTGGCTACATGACTTCTTGATTCTGCCTCCTCTCTCCTCCTCTATTTTCTTGGAATTCCCACCTTGCCCTATTCTGTTAAGCCACTGGCTGAAACAGCTTTATTCATTAACCATTAAAAGCAACACCACTTGTCAGCATACACAAAGTCCTGGTTCCATCCCCAGCACTGCCATGGTGGTACATGCCTGTAATCCAGCACTTGGGATAGTATATGCAGGAAACTCAGAAGCTGAAACTTATCCTTGGCTACACAGTAAGTTTGAGACCAGCCTGGGACACTGTTATAACAGATACTTTAGTCTCTACATGGCATGTTGTACTCTGTCCCTTCCCCTCCACCAGGGCCCCTTGTTTGCCCAAGCAAACAAGCCTTCCCCCATCAAAGGGCACCTATGATGCTTACTTGGCAGAGCGAGTCTCTTTCCTCCTTCTCTGCCCTTTTCCACTTGGCTTCATCTGACTTGGCCACCATTCCCTTCTCAGACTCTGGTTCTGTCTACTGATGACTTCCATCAAGGTCACCAGGTAGGAGAGAAGGCAAACAGGATATATCACCTGTCCTCCACCCTCAAGCCTACTGGCTGCCTCCAACTACACACAAAACTCTTTGTAGGAGTCGGACAGTGACTACTTGTTGCTAACCTGGGGCACTATACTATATGAATGTTGAGAGTGTGTAAATTCTCTTTCCACTCAACTCCTTAGTCTCTTTCTCTCTCTCTCTCTCTCTCTCTCTAAGATTCATTTATTTATTATGTGTACAGTATTCTGCCTGCACGTATGCCTGCTGGCCAGAAGAGGGTACCAGATCTCATTGTAGGTGGTTGTGAGCCACAATGTAGTTGCTGAGAATTGAACTCAAGACCTCTGGAAGAGTAGCCAATGTTTTTAAGCTCTGAGTCATCTCTCCAGCCCTTCTTTTTTTTCCCCCCAAGTAACTGGGACCACAGGCACATGTGGCCACACCAGGTAGACTGTGTATTTTCTTTTTTTTTTTTTTGGTTATTAAAACGTTTATTGAAAGTTTTTTTTTTTTTAAATTGAGCTCTACATGTTTCTCTGCTCC